TTTCCCATTTACTCTGGCACTGGAAAGAAAAATGTTGACTGGAAAGAAAGATGTTGACAGACTGGCTCTTACGAACCACAGAATTTAACTTGGTACCATCAACAAAATAATACCAAGTACCACTGCCAAGAATCACTATGTTACATATAATGTACAAAGTTACGTTTTTGCAATACTGAACATACAAGCTCAGACCAATCCCAATCGCCCAAAAAATCCTATGAGCAATGGATCCTATAGGCAAAAGTAGATAACTCAGTCCTGCACTAGTCCTGTGCTACATGGTACAGAAATGCAAGACTGTAGCTCTGTAATTAACAATAGGGATATTGCTTTATAGCCTGAGAAGTATCAGTAGTCCACTTACTCCATTTGACCTGGGAAGGCTGCCAACTAACTCCATCAACTTAACCTGAGCAAAATCCTGTTTTCCTGAGCAGAGAGAATCAAATTCACAGCTTCAAGCTCCTTCCAACCACCTATAAACAGCTCCTTCTTTTCCAGCTTTTTCACAAGGTTGTGTGTCTGAAGTTTGTATCCTATTTTCTCAATCTTTCCTTTTTTTAGCGGTATTTCTCACTTTCTCCTCACACACAGTTCCAGAACTCCAATTTAATTCCTTCTTTCTGATTTCTCAGATCAAAAAGCTGCCCTTTAGCTGTACAGTTAGTTATTAGTTCAGCCTCTCATGAGACGTTTTTCCAGGTCCCTATTGCTTCAGTCTTCTACTAAAAAATTATTTCTACTGCTGTTTACTGGGTTTATTTATGCACATGAAAAAAGTTACCACATCAGTTTTAATAAGTTTCTTTCTACAAGAGAATTTAGATTTGCTTCAGCAGTCCAATAAACTATTATGTTGCTAAAGATTTACTAAAGCACAGAATATTCAAGAGTATTTGTACTCTGGTTATGGAGAGCATTCAGATTTCTTTGCACATCTTGAATAGTTCAGTGTTTGTTCAATGTTCAAATCATTGTTCAATGAGCAAATCAATGTTCAAAACAAAACAGAAGATTGGATTCAGACTTTTAACCTGACAACCTGCCCTAATTGATCCTGCTTTGAGCATGATTTGGACTGGTGACCTCCAGAGGTGCCTGCCAACCCCAGCCATTCTATGGCACAGAACCGCACAAAACTCTTACCATGAAGTAATAGACTGTACCTGGCCCAAAGTGCACAGGTAGTGGGTCTACTGTATTTTTACCGTCTTTAGTTTATCAGCTACATTACAGTATATTCCTTCCTCTTAGTTTCTGCTCTTATGAAGAAAAATAGGGAATTGCAAAAATTTTATTTTGATTGTAAATTTTCATCCTTTGTGGAGATTCAAAATTATTTCTCAAGTTATTTCAGCACTCCTTTCTTGGATTTCTTGATCATTGCTTTGTTGAAAATTTATTCAGCACCTCAAAGTTTCCTGCATGTCAACTTGCAATGCAGCAGATCACGCTGAGCAAATCAAGTGCTCGTGAACTATGTACTCTGACTCACTTCCTAGATATCATTAGTCCTTCCCAATTCTTGCCTTGCCTCAAGGCCTACAATTCTTTCAACTACTCTTCTAAAACTACATGAAAATGTATACATTATACTGGTTTTACCCTCTTTTATCTGACAGTCAAAATAAAAAGATGGTGAAGTACAAAACTGAAAAGTACCAAAACACATCAAATATTCATCCCACTCCTACATACTCTTTCATTAATGAGCCAGCTAGGCAGAATAAAGCAATAGCTCATATGGCCTACAATCTTACACTGGTTTATACCTGATCCTGCTG